TAAATAAAGCGGGTCAGTGGACTTTCATCTGTTAGACTAGTGCGTTTTGGAGGGAAGCCTAGCAAACCCTTCTTGAGACTAGTGCGTTTTGGAGGGAAGCCTAGCAAACCCTTCTTGGTTTCAGTTTCGTCGAGTCCACGAGAATTCCCCATTCCTCGTCTACTCCTGTCATGGTCGAAGAGAGACAAATACTATGTTGGCATGCAGGATTTCCTTCAAGGATTAAAGGTAAATCCAGTCGCTTCCTATGAATTAAGTACGTCGGCGATACTACGGTGAGTGGAGCTACTAGTATGCATGAGTGTGGTGGACTCAGACATTATTGTGAGTTGTGCCAAGTAAGTTCAAGCCTGTCCAAAGACTTGGTACAACGAGTGTAAATTGAGAAGCTGTCTTGCTATGTTTAATTTGAGCAAGGGCTACTCACGTCTTGTAAACTTGAGCATTGAATTTGGTAGTTGAATGATTTTCAAGAAATGAAGGATTTCCTTGAAGGATTAGAGGTAAATCCAGTCGCTTCCTATGAATTAAGTACGTCGGCGATACTACGGTGAGTGGAGCTATTAGTGAATCGACTATTTTGTGGTTTAAAATATCGGTGAACTTTCGGACGAATACTCAGGCTCTATACATTCGGTATTTAACGACTATCCAGTCCTTACTTAATTTAGAGCAATGTTCCGTTCAGTATTCAAAAGACATTCAGATCCACATTCAGAGCAACACTTGGGACTGTACTCAAAATTGTACTCGATTGGAACAATTTTCAACAATGGTTCAACCACTATTTAACCCATATTTAATCAGCAAATGGTCAACTCGAACAGACAGCAGGTATTCATTGGCAGACAACGATTAACGCGACTTCTAATATTTTGCTCTTTATCAGCAAATTTCAACAGCACTCAGTTTTCTCAGTCAGCGGTCAGTCAACAATGTTCAGTCTTCAGTCAGCAACCAATCAAAGCCTAATAAGTATTTAGTCAACAACTTCGGCGACAGTCAATTCTTAACCAACATTCAGGGAAGGTATTTAGACAGACATTCAGACAAGCAATTTGACCAGCAAACATTCAGACAAATAATTAGATCAATGCAATCTGACTAGAGATTAACCTACTTATCCAGACATTCAACAGTCAATTCAGCAACCTGTTCAGTAACCAGATCAGCGATCAAGTCATTGATAATCAGTAGACGACAAACACCACATTCATGAGTACGGTCCAATCATTCCTGGTCAGCGAGTCAATGCTGACCAATCTCAATCAGTTTTCACATAAGGAGGTCATTCGTTACCAGTATGTCAATGCCATCGGCTTCAGGCAGGGAGACCTGTCAATCTTC